CATCCCGGGCGGAGCCTCTGGGCCGCGGCGGCTCGGGTTCGCGGGCCACGGCCTCTGCCAACAGCGCGGCGACTCCCGTGCTGGCCGTGCAGGCGTCCAGAAGCCCCTCGGGGCTGTGGGTGTGGCGTCCCCAGGGCGCTGTGGGGCGTTGGAGGGGTATCCCCAGGGCGCTGTGGGGTCTTGGCGTCCCCCGGGCGCTGTGGGGCGCTGTGGGGTCTTGGCCTCCCCCGGGCGCTGTGGGGTCTTGGCCTCCCCCTGGCGCTGTGGGGTCTTGGCCTCCCCCTGGCGCTGTGGGGTCTTGGCGTCTCCAGGGCGCTGTGGGTGCGGGTGTGGGGTGCGGGTGCCCTGTGGCTCGTGCTGGTCAGGTCTTGCTCCGCTCTGGGGCCACGCCCCCGGCCGGCTTTTCCAAATGCTGGTCTCTGGAATGGGTAGGAGGGAATGGTTCCGCTGCAAAGGCAAGTGAAGTGTACGGTGATGTCTGCAAGTGGCCTCAGTGTTCCTGTTTTAGAGGCGGTGTCAGGTGCAGCCAGTGTCACCCCTTCCCCTGTCGCGACCCGCAGGACGTCAACGAGGGCAGTGAACCTAAGCGAGAAGGAATGAAGGCACAAGAGATTCGAAGAATAACAGCAAGACAGGGATTCTGATCAAGCTGCTGCTGCTAAATTTTATTTTTCACACAGCTATATTTATATGCTTGGAATAAGGAAGCTTTTTCATTGGCCGTTAAGGAAGCTTTTTCATTGGCCGAAGCAGCTGTAGGATGTTTGCTTAGGGCAAGGTGAAAAGGTGGGATTCTGTAAACTCAGCCTCAGGATGTTCCAGTGAGATAGTTAAGCCTATTATGTTGAGAGACTCAACTTTTGGCTCCCAACATTCCCCAGCTCTGTCCCTCCACTTCTTTGCCTCTCCTTACCTTCCCAAAGACAGATGAACAAGACAAAACACAAAAACAGCAACAAATGCTGGATATTTTTAATGACAGCTTTAAGATACAATCCTGTATAATTCATATACAGGAACTGTACAACGATTTTTATTTTATCTTTTGCTGTGCATCCTGGGGCTTTAACTTAGGGCCTAGGCACTATTCCTGAGTCGTCTTCTCAAAGCTAGTGCTCTACCTACCACTTGAGCCTTAGCACCACTTCTTGCTTTTTCTGGAGATAAAGTCTCATGGATTTTCCTGCCTGGACTGGCTTGGAACCACAATCCCCAAATCTCAGCCTCTTGTAGCTAGGACTTACCTGTATTAGCCTCTGGCCCCTGTCTAGATTTGAACTTAACATCAACCAAGTTGCATTGATCACCCTGGCTTGTCTGGCCTCTTGCTCATTCAATGTGTTTCTCCTCCCGTTGAGTTTCTCCTAAATTTTGTTGTTGTTGGATTTGAAATATAATTTCCACACAATAAAACTAACTTATTTTACATGTTTAGTTAGAATTCCCCAAGGGGGAGCCATGTGGTATAGTGTATGCATTTCGCTTCTTTCAGTTGACATGGTTCAGAAGACTGCTGAGCTCATTGTATTACTCCGCTGTAGGAAGGTGGTGTTGTTGATGCATTGAGTTTGTGGACACCTAGGCTTGATAACTTCCATGCTGTTCTGAGCAGTTAAGTGCTGTGAACATAATATGCATTTCCTCACGTTCATACATAGAAGTTGAACTGCAGACACTCCCAACAGTTTTTTAGATGATTGTACTAGTTTATATACTGTACCAGCACCTGATGCTTTTTAACTTAGCCATTCTTTGGGCTACTTGTCGTAATTTAAGGATAAGAGCAAAAGCTGGGTGCTGGTGGTTCACACCTGTAATCCTAACTACTAAGGAGGCTGAGATCTGAGGATTGAGGTTCCAGGCCAGCTTGGGCAGGAAAGTCTGAGGCTCTTTTTTTTTTTTTTTAATTTTTTTTTTGGGGTCCGGTCGTTTGGTCTGAACTCTGGGCCTGGGCACTGTCCCTCAGCTCTTCAGCTCAAGGCTAGCGCTCTACCACTTGAGCCACAGCACCACTTCTGGCTTTTTTTTTTTCCTGCTTATGTAGTGCTGAGGAATCGAACCCAGGGCCTCACGCATGCAAGGCAACTACTCCACCACTGAGCCACCTTCCCAGTCTGAACTTTTTGTAGATTCTTACCAGCAATAAAGAGCTTTGTGTGTGTGTGTGTGTGTGTGTGCGCGTGCGCGCGCATGCACATGCACTGGTCCTGGGCTTTTTTCCCCCCCTTGTTCATGGGGCTTGAACGCTGGGCCTGGGCACTGTCTCAAGGTGAGCACTTTACCAGTCAGTTGAGCCACATCACCACTTCCAATTTTTTGGTGGTTAATAGGAGATAAGAGTCTCATGGACTTTCTTACTGAGCTGGCTTTGAACTGCAATCCTCAGATCTCAGACTCCTGAGTAGCTAGGATGTCAGGCGTGAGCCACCGATGCCCAGCTAAGAAAGGTATTTCTTTTTTTTGTGTATTAGTGAAGTGCTGGCCGAGGAGTCCGTCGTCTGTCTCCAGAAAGCCCTAATAGACCTTCGGGAGATATGGGAGCTGATTGGGATTCCAGAAGACCAGCGCTTGCAAAGAACAGAAGTGGTGAAGAAGCATATCAAGGTGAGTCGAGAGCCTTGTGCTGGGAGGGCATCCGTGTCTCCCTAGAATGAACGGAGATGACTTCTGATCAGCTGCACTTGGGTTTTGTTTTTAAGTACTTTCTAGAAATTTCGGAATTACCAGGGTTTTGGTGTTGAGGTCTCAAACTTTTATGAGCTGTTTTTTCTTTTATAGGATCTCCTGGACAGGATGATTGCTGAAGAGGAGAGCCTGAAAGAGAGGCTTATCAAAAGCATATCTGTTTGTCAGAAAGAGCTAGACACCCTGTGCAGTGAGTTACGTGTAGAGCCTTTCCAGGTACGTCAGCCCACAGCAGAGGTCTCAGAAAATCCAGCCTGCATTTAGGGGAAGTATTGTTTTGGGACTGCAGACAGAAGGCTTCCCTGTAAGGATGGTGCTAGCATGGGACGAGGGGAAGACAGGCTGCATGGCTAATTAGTTCCAAGCCGGGCCCTAGTGATTCATGCCTGTAGTCCTAGCTACTGAAGAGGCTGAGATGACAGGCAGGAAGTCTCCTAACAGAGGTACGTTATCTTAACTAGGAGGAAGGAGAAGTGACTATCTTACAGCTAGAGAAAGACTTGCGCACGCAGGTAGAATTAATGAGGAAGCAAAAGAAGGACAGAAAACAGGAACTGAAGCTACTTAAAGAACAAGATCAAGAGCTGTGCGAGATTCTTTGCGTCCCCCATTATGACATTGATAGCATGGTGGTTCCCAGCATAGAAGACCTGAACCAGCTGAGGAAACATGTGACATCTCTGAGAGAAACAAAGGTATACTTACTTGCTGCCGCACCTCCATCTCCAGCTGGCCTTCCTCTAGGTATCTTATAATAGATTTGTTTTGCAGAACGCTAGACGTGAGGAGTTTGTCAACATAAAGAGACAAATCATCCTGTGTATGGAAGAACTGGAACACACTCCAGACACTAGCTTCGAAAGAGATGTGGCGTGTGAAGATGAAGATGCCTTCTGTTTGTCTTTGGAGAACATAGCAACCCTACAGAAGCTGCTGCAACAGGTGATGTTCTCTCAAGATGCACATGGTCTGAGGTCTCACTGATGTGTGTGGGGGCGGGGGGGGGATTGGGGAAAAATGACAGTGTGCATGTGTGCATATGCAGGCCCTGGGGCTTGCATGCAAGGCTTGGGTACTTTTCTGCTTAAGGCTGTACTGTATACCACGTGAGCCACACTCCCACTTCTGGCTTTTTGCTGATTAGTTGGAGATGAGTGTTCTGGATTTGTCCATCCTGATTTGTATGCCCAGGCTGGCTTCAAATCATGATGCTCAGATCTCAGCTTGGATTTACAGGTCTAAACCACCGGAACTCAGCTTCACGCATGACTTTTTCCTGGTTAACTGGAGATGTGGATTGAGTTTGTCTTCCTCTTGGGTTAGCTTTGAGTCACGATCTTTAGATCTTAGCATCCCTAATAGCTAGGATTACAGGTGTAAGCTACAGGTGCCCAGCCAACTCTTTTTTTTTTTAAAGTGGTACTGTGCATTACCCGACGTATGTAACCGTAACCCCTCTGTATGTCACCTTTATAATAAAAATTTAAAAAAAATGAACTTGGCCTGATACTTGCTTACATATGCCACTGCTTGAGCCTTGCTTCCAGTCTTGCTTTCGGCTGGTCATTTTGGAGATGGAGTTTAGGAAACATTTTTGCCTAGGCTGGCCTTGATCAAAGCCTCCAGATCTCAGCTTCCTAAGTAGCAGGATTATAGGCATAAGCCTTGAGTGTCACACTAGCTTTTTCTTCAGTCTTTCGTGGTGCCTGAACTCAGCCTGGGCACTGTTCCTGAGCTCTTCGGCTCAAGGCTAGCACTCTAGCATTGGAACCACAGCACCACTTCCGGCTTTTTCTGCTTATGTGGTGCTAAGGAATTGAACCCAGGGCCTCATGCATGCAAGGCAAGCACTTTACCACTGAGCCACTTTCCCAGCCCCTTCTTCAGTCTTTTTTTTTTTT